CTCATATGCTTTTCATTCAACTTTCCCGGCACTACGCTTTCCCAAATATTAACATTATAGATATACCCTAATAATCCAAAATCAATAAATGATTATTAACACTGTAAAGCCAGATGTCTGTACAGACCTTATCCAAATCCCCCTCATGTTCTGACTAATGTCCTTTTTCTGGACCAGGATCCAATCTAGCTAACACATGTTCTCTTCATTGTACTGTTCTTTCCAGTCTCCTTTAATCTGTAGAAACTTAGGATTTACCTTTAAGAGCTTTTCACATTTTTGAAGAGTATTGGTTACTTATTTTGTATGACCCTCAGTTTTGGACTTTTCTAATATTTTCTCATGATTAAACTCAGGTTATACAGGTTGTACAAGAATACTACAGGGATGATGCTGCACCTTCTCCATCCATTATATTCAATGCCACCTAATATGTCGTTAACTCTGATTACTGTGGATGTTAACTTTGATCACTGGGTTAAAAGTTCCTCCAATGCAAAGTGAAGCCCTTTTCCTTGAAAAGGCATTGTTAAACAACCAATCCCCTGAGTTACACACCACACATCTGACCAAATCAATCAAAATCAATAAATGATTATTAACACTGTAAAATGAATGTCTGTACAGACCTTATCCAAATCCCCTCTATGTTCTGACTAATGTCCTTTTTCTGGACCAGGATCCAATCTAGTAACACATATTTCTCTTCATTGTACTGTTCTTTCAGTCTCCTTTAATCTGTGAAACTTAGGATTTACCTTTAAGAGCTTCACATTTTTGAAGAGTATTGGTTACTTATTTTGTAGCATGACCCTCAGTTTGGACTTTTCTAATATTTTCTCATGATTAAACTCAGGTTATACAGGTTGTACAAGAATACTACAGGGATGATGCTGCACCTTCTCCATCCATTATATTACAATGCCCTAATATGTCGTTAACTCTGATTACTGTGGATGTTAACTTTGATCACTGGGTTAAAGTTCCTCCAATGCAAAGTGACCCTTTTCCTTGAAAGCATTGTTAAACAACCAATCCCTGGGTTACACCACACATCAGCCAAATCAGATACACTTGAGGGATGGTACAGGCATTGCTAGGTTTTAAATGCCCTACAAGTGACTGTAATCAGTATCTGGAAATGCAAACATATAACTGACAGTGAAGATTAGAATCCTGAAAATCAGCTAGGAGACCATTCCTAAGACTTGTCTTTAAAAAAAAGAAAAATCTATTTCTAAACAAAAGCAAATACATCTGGATTTTGGTATAGACATATGGTAGAGAAATAGAGGAAAAATAGAAATCACCTGATGGGGAAAGAGATGAGAGAGTAGACCGCAGTCCAATTTGAGGGAAAAAAAAAAAAGCAGAATCAGGTGGGGTGACACTTGCTGGTAATTTCAGTATTTTGGGAGTGAAAGTGGGTAGATCACTTGAGCCCAGAAGTTTGAGAAAAGCCTGGGATTTCTCCAGCCTGGGTGAAACCCTATCTCTACAGAAAAAAAAAACACAAAAAAATTAGCTAAGCATGGTAGCACGTGCCTGTGATTCCAGCTACTTAGGAGGCTGAGACAGGAGTATCGCTTGAGCTCACAAGGTTGAGGCTGCAGTCAATTATAAACTCGCCACTGCACTTTAGCCTGGGTATGAGAGTGAGACACTCTCTCTTTAAATTTTTTTTTTAAAAGGTAAAAATAATGTTCTAAGGTCATATCTAGTACAAAAACTGCATCTTATTCTGTGATATTTAGATACCACAATTAAAATAGAACATGGAGAAACTGGGAGCAAGATGGCCAAAAGGAACAGCTCCAGTCTCCAACTCCCAGCGCGAGCGACAGAAGACAGGCGATTTCTGCATTTTTAACTAAGGTACTGGGTTCATCTCACTAGCGAGTGCCGGACAATCAGTGCTGGTCAGCTGCTGCAGCCCGACCAGCGAGAGCTGAAGCAGGGCGAGGCATTGCCTCATCTGGGAAGCGCAAGGGGGAAGGGAATCCCTTTTCCTAGCCAGGGGAACTGAGACACAGAACACCTGGAAAATCGGGTAACTCCCACCCAAATACTGTGCTTTACCAAGGGTCTTAGAAAACGGGCACACCAGGAGATTATATCCCACACCTGGCTGGGAGGGTCCCACGCCCACGGAGCCTCCCTCATTGCTAGCACAGCAGTCTACGATCTCGCCACAAGGCAGCAGCGAGGCTGGGGGAGGGGCGCCTGCCATTGCTGAGGCTTAAGTAGATAAACAAAGTGGCTGGGAAGCTTGAACTGGGTGGAGCTCACAGCAGCTCAAGGAGTCCTGCCTGTCTCTGTAGACTCCACCTCTGGGGACAGGGCACAGCTAAACAACAACAACAACAACAACAAAAAAAAAAACAGCTGAAACCTCTGCAGACGCAAACGACTCTGTCTTACAGCTTTGAAGAGAGCAGTGGATCTCCCAATACGGAGGTTGAGATCTGAGAACGGACAGACTGCCTGCTCAAGTGGGTCCCTGACCCCTGAGTAGCCTAACAGGGAGACATCCCCCACTAGGGGCAGACCGACACCCCACACCTCACACGGTGGAGTACACCCCTGAGAGGAAGCTTCCAAAGCAAGAATCAGACAGGTACACTCGCTGTTCAGCAATATTCTATCTTCTGCAGCCTCTGCTGCTGATACCCAGGCAAACAGGGTCTGGAGTGGACCTCAAGCAATCTCTAACAGACCTACAGCTGAGGGTCCTGACTGTTAGAAGGAAAACTAACAAACAGGAAGGACACCTACACCAAAACCCCATCAGTACGTCACCATCATCAAAGACCAGAGGCAGATAAAACCACAAAGATGGGGAAAAAGTATTGCTGGTGAGATTATAAAAAGGTACAGCCACTAGCAAAAACAGTTGTGCTGTTCCTCAAGAAGATAATCATAGAATTTTCACATGAAACAGCATCCATTCCCAGGTATATACCCAAAGAATTGAATCCAGGGACTCAAATAGGTACTGGCATGGGAATGTTGACTGCAGCATTACTCACAAAAGATAAAATATGAAAACAATCCAAGTGTTCATCAACTCATGAAAAAACAGATGTGGTGACACATGCAACAGAATGTTAATCTGCCATAAAAAGGAAGGAAGCTCTGACATCCACTGCAACATGCATGGACTTTGGAAACATTATGCTAAGTGAAATATGTCAGAAATTAATAACATACATATATAATTCCATTTATATGAAACATCAAGAATAGGCAAATTCATAGAGATAGAGAAGAGATGATCAAGGTCTAGGGTGGAAAATAACAGGGAGTTATTATTGTTTCAAAGATACAAACTTTCAGTTTAAAATGACAAAAGTTTTCTAGGAAAAATAGTGGTGATGGGAACTTAACACTGTGTATGTGGTTAATTCCACCTGATTGTACATTTTAAAGTGATTAAAATAGCACATTATTCACAGGACTATGCAAAATCTATTTCTATTATTTAATTCACCCAGGTTAAGGTGTTTGTTATGGCAGCTGAAGCACATGAATACATCATCTGACCCAGTGTTTTCCATGAAACGTATCACTTTTTCAATCAAGTTAGCTGCAGACTCCTGTCCCCAGAAGAACCAGAGGTCCCAAAACAAGAGCTCCAGCAGGGGTTCAACCAGCACAGGTCCCATAGGGCAGCCTCGATGTCAGGCCCTGGATGGCATGTGAGGCTATAATGATAAAACCACAATGTGAAAGTGTAAGTGTTTTTTCTACTTACAGACACTGGAGAACACTCGGCACACCTGGAAACCACAGATACAGAGGTCAGCGAGGCCAGGCAGGGAGGAGAGAAGAGACTGGTAAGCCGATGGCTTTATTAAGTCCAGGTGTTATCTGACAGGTTTCCAGCAGGGAGCTCTGATGGATGTGTTTCAAGCAAGCGGCAGACACTGGGACCAGGAGAACATGCTGTGACTGAGAAGTGGTCACTTTAAATGTAAGGGCAAATGTCAGAATTACCAGTTTAAAGAAAGTAGATGGAGAGAAGGGAGCCCAGCACACCAAGCAGGAGAGATGCCTCTAAGATTTCACCCCTGGCCACCAACTGGAGAAACTTGAACCAGATACAGTATTGAAAACTGCCATGGTGAGCAAGGCCTGCCTCTGATGTGAGGCAAATAAATTTACACCTTAAAAAATGAATGCCAAGGCAACATGACACTATGAGCACTCATGACATCCAGGGACACCAGCAGGGTGTGGTACTGGGCCCTGGACTCAGAATCCTGGGTTCTGGTCTCTGGGACTGAGGAAATGAAAATGAATTGTCCCTGCCTCCCTGGCATTGATCCTCCCGCCCTGCTGCTCCATCTTCTGTTCCCAAGACCATGTGCAGTGCTCAGCCCCAGACATCACTGCCCCCAGGGTATACACAGTGCCGCCTACTGCACACACACACAAACTCACAGAAGGTGACGAAAATCTGCGTTCGGGACACTCGATTATGAAAGAGGGAGAACAGAGAACGTAGAACCACAGAGATGGGACTCACGGGGCTGGAAGGTGATGGAGCCGTAACATAACATATGTGTGACCTCGCGTGAAATGTGCAGATCCTTTAGGAATAAAACACGCAACCTGGCCTGGGACTGTGGCCACCCACACTTCCCTTCCAGGCCACCAGAGGGCGGCAGAGTCCTTCCAGCCTGGAGCTTTCCCAGGGGATGCCGACCAGAACCTGTAGCCAAGCAGGGTCCACCCTCACCAGGGTCACCTCGGCCCAAGTCCTCAACGTCCTCCATGCTCCCCACAGGGACTGTGTCAGCTCCTCCCTGACCTGGCGGCCGCCAACCTAACACCACTCCCTCTGCAGGCAGCTCCTGCCCCACACACCTGCTCCTTCCCTGGGTTCAGCTAAAAATACATCTCCCAGGGCAGCCAGGGTGCACGCGAAGCCACACTGCGCGCTTTCCCCTGGTGACCTCCCTCCATCCTCATCAACTCTTTCTGTCACTGCTCCCTAAATGTCCGCCTCTGCTCCATCTGTCCTGTTCTCTGGAGCAACCCAGGGCAAGCCTAGCGCTGACACAGGACAGCGGTTGCCTGAGGGCCCACAGACTCCCTGGGAATCAGTCAGGCACCCTGTGGCCTGCCTGCCCGCAGCACCTCGGGGGGCTCAGAGCGAGTGGGATTGTCACACACAGGCACCATCCAGGATGTGTCCACCTACCCCCGGCTTTCCCTTGGGAAGACAGACCTCTCCTGTGTCCCTGCCGGGAGAAGGGGGTATTATTGCTCTTTGATCCAAGAACGCAACTCACCCCCACCCGCCTTCTCAGGTGTGAGCAACGTCCCTCCACACAGGCTCTCTGGTGACTGCCTGTTCCTCCTCTACAGAGAGAAGCTTGGCCAGGTCAAAACCCTCAGGACAAACCCCTGGGTATGTCAGCACATGGAGGGCTGAGCCCATCACGACCACAGAGTAAGTCGGGATGAATCTCTCCAGCTCTGAACCCCTGCTCTGTCCCAGACTCCCCTTCCTGCATCTCAACGAGCCATGTTCCACGGGGTTCCTGGGTAACTCCCCACTTCCTCCTGCACCACCACGGTGACGGTGTGGTGACCACAGGACAATCAGATGGGCAGAGAAGAGAGGACACCAAAGATGGTCAGGAAGAAAGGAGAAACCCTGAGCCCCAGCTCAGCCACCGGTCCCCAGGGAGCAATAGAGTGACTGAGAACTGTCCCTTTGACTATGGGACTCACAGCCCCCACTGAGCAACCAGCACAGGCCTCTCCTCACAAGAGGCATGAGAGATTCACCCTGCACAACTCCAGGAAGGACACTTTCCTCTGGGACACCCAGGTTCTGAATGTCCATCTTTGGAAGCTGCGGCCAAGCTAGACATAATTAGAGAAAGGAAGGGTCCCTGTCACCAGGCAACACACAGCTCACCTACAGCACAATGTGGTGTCCTTGTGACAGGGACCTGGTGCAGCTCCAGCCTCCTGCACTGAAGGGAAGAGCCAGATGGGGATGAAAGAGGGCAAAGGTCGAGAAAGTGCACCCTAACCCAGAGCCGTGGGGACAGCAGGAGGCTGAGGCCCAGAACTGTGCTTGCCCAACCTACAGGGTATGTGTGTGACTGTGTGTGTCTGTGTGCGTCTCTTTTGTGTGTGTGTTTGTGTTTCTGCACATAGTGTGCGCCCAGGTTTGGTGACAGATCACTGGTAAAAAAGGCAGAGGCCTCCACAGTTCCCAGGGACCTGACACACAGACAAAAGGTAAAAAAGAAGGAGGGACAAGGAGGCAGGACTGAGAGGCGGGGACAGCGGGGGTGTCCTGGGCACAGACCCGCCATGAGCCTGAAGTGCTCCTGCCCCGGGAAAAGAGCTCAGCACAGAAGGAGGCAGGGACAGCACAGCTGACAGCTGTGCCCAGAAATTTCTGGATCTCGGGCTCATCTCACACAGGAGAACATGCAGGCAGCACAGGCCATGGGGCCCCTCTCCAGCCCCTCTACACACTGCACATCACCTGGAAGGAGCTCTGCTCACAGGTGAGGAGAGAACTTCCTGGGAGAGGACGGGAGCTGGAGAAGCGGGAGATTGGATGGGGTCTCCCTGGAGAGGATAGGAGTTCTATAAACTAAAAAGGAGTCAGCACTTTGGTAGGCTGAGGTGGGTGGATCATGAGGTCAGGAGTTCAAGACCAGTCTGCACTGCTCAACACAGGAAGCCCGGTCTCTACTAAAAATACAAAAAATTAACCAGGTGTTGTGGTGTGCTCCTGTAATCCTAGCTACTTGGGAGGCTGAGGCAGGAGATTTGCATGAACCCGGGAGGCAGAGGTTGCAGAGTGAGCAGAGATTGCGCCACTGCATCACCAGCCTGCGTGACCATATGAGACTCCATCTCACAAACAAAAAGAAAAAAAAAATGCAGGAAAGAGGCTCTGTTGGAGCCTGCATAAGAGGAACATATGCCGAGGAGGGACACGAGGTCAAAACAGGAAAATCACATTGAACTGGAAATGGTAAGAGGTAGGAAAATCTCAAGTGTTCTGTTTTCCTGGTTAATATCACTGTACAACATTTTGAAAAATGATAATAATAACTATTATCAGTTGGCACTTCAAATGAAAATATAAGCAGGGCATGAAACACTGTCCTCAGCCAAAAACCTCAACAATTGGGGAAAGAAGAAGAAACACCGGGCATGGAGGGCCCAGGGAACTCTCACATGTGCAGGGTCTGCCACCTGTCCGAGCTCTGAGGTGCAACCAGATCAAAAGTCCCTGTCCTCGGGGAACACATGCTTTCATGGGAAGCAAGATAGACAGACATGCAAAGAGATCACAGAATGTAAAGGTCGAATCGACCCAAGGCTCCGGAGGAGCAAGAGCAGAAAAAGATCAGAAAGGGAAGACCCAGTGTCTCTGAAGGAGGTGTTAGGAAAGAAGTCTAAGGATGCCCTCATGCTTGAGTAGGACCTGAGGGCAGTGAAGGAGGGAGCACATGCCAGAGGCCCCTGGGGAAGAGGATTCCAAACAGAAAAGTGCCAAGGTCGGAAGTGTTGAAGGAAATAGGCTCATACTGCTGACCTTGACACAATAGGACAGTTTGAGACACACACACAAACACACACACACAGAAGGGGGTGTGTGTGGGTGTGTGTGGGTGTTTTCAAGGCTGATGATTGAAGAGATCTTCTCAGGTCCCAGGACCCCATTTTTCACCCCAATACATGAATTGTTCTGTATTGACTGACTCTCCACTACTAGTATCACTTTTAATCATCTGGAACCCGCCCTACCACGGCTCAAGTCACAATTGAAAGGCTCAGCCAGCCGAGGTTTCTGAGGAAGGATGTTCTTCTGCATAATCCCTGGTGCCCAGAATCTACTGGCTGGCTGGCCTGAGGCAAATAACAGACATCCACCATTATATTACATCATATCATAATAGACACTGAAGTATTATATTTGGGCCTGCATACAGTGGACGAGAAACAGTATTTTCCAATGCATCCCTGCTGATCCAGAATGTCACCCAGAAGGACACACACACAGGATCCTACACCATACAAATCATGCAGGTGATACCACTAAAGGAGTAACTGGACATTTCATCTTATGCAGTGAGTGATTCCACATGATCCTTGGTGTTGGGGTGGGAGTCACTTCTACTTTGCACACACAGGATTGTCAGGCCTACACTGCGCCTGTGTCCCTCTACATTATGTCCCATGTTGGGGTTTCAGCATTTAGTGCAGGACACACACAGAGGAGACAAACTTCAACAGATCAAATTCCCTTTCCTGCCTCCAGACCCTGCAGACACTTGCTGCACAGGAAGGACCATGATCTTATGGGGTGGGGGGTTGCTCAGCAGGAGGAGATCAGCCTCAGCCAAGCACCTCATGCCCTCTTCATAAACTTGATCCTGAAAGACCCTGGAGAACTGGTAGCGCACATTCACAAGAGGCCCCTGACAAACTCTCAAAGAAGCTCAGCCTAGAGGCCTCAACCCCAGACCCCCTGTCCCTAAATCCTTACCTCCCAGATAAAGCTGAGGAGCCTGTGCCAGGGCTGGGTTGTGGCAGGGCTTACTGGGACCAGGATTTACCAGCTCTCTGAGGACTGTGTCTCCTGGGCTGCTCACCAGCCAGGGCTCAGCCCTCACCCAGCCTCATCTACATGGGCAAGGACAGAGCTTTCTTCACCTGACACTCCAGAGTGGAAGGGGACAGAAAGACAAGCTTTGTAGGCCATCCAGCTAACTGTCTTGAGGCCCAGGACATTCCATAGAAAGTCTAATATCTCCAGATGCAGAAACAGAAGAGAGAAAATGTACCTGGCAGCAGCTTGTCCACAGGGATCTGACCTAAAGGTGCCCTCTCATGAAAGTGAATAATAATAAATGCTGTTTGTGTGAACACCTGCACTGTGCCAAGCATTAGGTCAGGTGACTGTGAAGAATTTACAGATTTATTCACAGATAGCATAAAGCCACAGTCCATTAGCCATTTAGCTTATTTGACTGAGAGAAACCTGAGGCACGAGAGGCACAGTCACTGAACCAGAGTCACACAAACACAAAAGGCAGATCGGGGTCACATGAGGTCTGTCTGCAGCCACAGGCCATTAATCCTCCTCCACGAGTGAGGAATTATTGGGTTCGAAGGACACATAGTCATTTATTGGCTCAAATCCTCTCTTCTTAGGCATCCAAACCTCAGAGGAGTGAGAGCAAATGGTCAGCTGATTAGTCTGCACTCCCAGAACTAAATCACCTGCCTCAGCTGTCAGAGTGATTAAAAAAATGTCCAGAGGCCTCCCCCTCCAGATCTTAACCCCTATCATAGACACACCTGAAATCCTCATATTTCTCAAAGTGTCCTGTCCTGGCATGACAGGATAAAGAGGAGACCTAGTTTTCCTTCCCCACTCCCACACCCCTGCACCAGCACAGGCCCAGTGAGAGACACACACTCAGGAGCTCTCACATAACAAATGAAGGAATTGAATGAAGAAATGAATGATCCATAACCTCTTTAGAGACTGGATCTGGATGCAGAATCTAGGAAGTTCTAGTCACACCCATCCCTTTTCCTTCAGATGCTGACAAGCATGTTTCATCCTAGGAAGTTCTAGTCACACCTGTCCCTTGTCCTTCAGATGCTGACAAGCATGTTTCATCCCCCCACTACCTCTTGCCCCTAATGCCACCCCACCTAATATAACTCTGAAGCTCTTTGGCCACTGGAGGGTTTTCAGGGCTCCCTCGTCCTGGACTGTTGAACTGGGGCACCTGGTCCCTGGGGTCTCCACAGTCACTGTAGGCCCCACTGTTCACTGCCGTGCTCTCTCTGCCTCTCTCTGCCTCTTGTGTCCCTCATCTTCCTCCCACTTCATTCTAACTGGCAAACCCTGTCCTGCTCAGCTTCTTCCTCCACTCCTTGGCTTTCCCCAGACACTCCTTCAAACTACGCTGACTGTTCTGTTCCCTTCCTGCTAACACTGTGGCCTGGCCCAGCTCCCAGGAAATAGGAAAGGCAAGAAATCACCTGCAGTTTCCGCTCCTGCCATGCTTCATCTCGAGCCAATGTCCCCAGGTCACTAAGAGAAAGAGCTTCCACTGTATCCCCATCCAGGGCTCTGTCCCTTTGTGAGGCTGTTCTGTGGACAAGACCGTGGGACAGGGATAGACAACTCCTCTATCCACTCTTATAATTCCCAGACAAGTTCTTCTGGCCTCCTGCACAAATAAAACTAATTTATCCAG